GTGGCTTTGAGGTGTTAGATATTCCAGAGTGCCTCTCTCGTTCTTTTATTATCCCGGCGGCACTGCGGACTTGAACAAATGGAGACGGGATGAGGGCCAGCAACTGCTCGGCAGGTAGACCCTGCTAGCTGCAAGACATTAGGAGTAGGGTTGGGAACCGAAAGTAGGTTCCAAATTAGAACTGATAAGGAAATACCTGGTACCTGGGTACCCAATTTTTTATTTTTATTTTTATTTTTTTTAGAATTTCGGTTATCGGTTCCTAAACATTACATATACCTGCCATGACCTTTTTTAGATGGATACGTCATGCATCAACCATGCCTGCCAACAGTGTGAAAGATAGTGAATGGTCAAAAGTGTAGTTTTTCTTTATTAAAGAAAACGACAATTGACACACATCAAAGCTATTCTTAAAATACAAGACTGCTGACATTACTTATCCTAAATCGATGCTGATTTGGCCAAAACCCAGTTAACCCTCCCAGAATAGGATAAGGCATCAATGCCTTAACTTACAAAATGTTCTTAAATACGTTAAACTAACGTCATTATCTTCATCAGTGCTTGTTGCATATGCTTGAAAAAATACATAATCAGAAACCTTAATGTTTACTTTAAAATGCATTATCTCCAACGTAATTCAATAAATCAGCTTTTTTACGAAATAAATACAAATCACAACAGGCTCCTTCATTTTTTCTCTCAAGACGGATTTTATGAAGTGTGTGACAACAACCTAAATAACTCTGCTTGTTTGTCAGATCGACTTGATAAAAAATATCATTACAAACCTTAATGTGTCTTCATCCAAATACACCTGCTCTCACCAAATACAAATATGTACTTTTATACAAATTATTAAGTAATCAGCTTACTAATTTCTTCATCACCTGTGGACACACCCCCATACACTAGCAGCTATTGATATGCCAGTGACTTTATTTGAGGCAGAGATAAGTCACGTGTAGAAACGCCAACCAAGAATGACAAAGCTGCACACAAAATGAGGCAGGTTCTATTTGCTATATTTACTATGGCATGCTCTCATTTTACCGCTGAAGAAACTCTGCAACAAGTTCAATCATTTCTCGTCAGTGGTGATGAAATTAATACATCCTCCAGTGAAGATTGTGACAGCAATGAGGATTGTTTTAAGAAGAAATTCTTTTAAAGACTGGCACAAAATAAGTTCTGTTCTTAATCATGCTGAAATGGATTTCTCCATTTTGCCATATTTATCATTCCTGCTGCTTTCAGCAACCAGATAAATTACAAATTGTGTATGATTTTGTCTCTTTTCACGCTGTTATTCAGCACTAGACAGGCCCACTGACAGGCTGATTTGGGTTTCCCAGGTGAATATTATTCATATTCGTGACTACAGCTGTTTGTCCAGGCAGAGACAATTAAACAGAAACAGTGACATACTTAAGTTATGGCTCTCTATTTGTTAAACTGAAAGGAATTTGTGAATGACTTGCAGGCAGGTGTTATGCGCTGCACTGAATGCACTTTAGTTAGCATTTTACTCCCGTTGCTGCTGGGATGTTCAGAATAAAGATTTTTTTTTTGTTAAACATTTGTCATCCTCTTTTTTTACCTTTAAGGAATCGAAATGGGGACTCGATAAGAACCGGAATCAATAAGCAGAACCGGACTCGGAATCGGAATCAATAAAATTCAAACGATACCAAACCCTAGTTAGAAGTAAACTTGGGAATGTGGACCCTGAGAGTGCATGAGGAAAGGCTTGAGGCGTCATGGGAGGCTGGCCCAGTCTAGATGGGCAGAGTGCCGCCGCCAGATTCGGGTTTGTGTGGTGAAGCAGAGTTTGTGTGGAACCTCCGGCTCACCCTAGTCATGTAGGGGTCTCTGGCAGCTTTGGCAAGGCTTGACAGATTGCAGACAAAGCGGGTTGGATAACAGCTTGTCGGTTTGTTGACGTTGGCGTAGATCGAGGGCTCGGTCAAACCCGCATCCCCTCACCCGGCGCCATTTACCATGAGGGTCGTCATTCCACTGCTCCCTCAGCCTCTCACTGTTGTTTTATGGCTTTATTCAGGAAGTAGGAACCGTCCTGTTTTTCATTTGGCCTGGAAATGGCTGGTTGTTTGGGTTGGACTGTGCCTAGCGCCGGAAAGGTCCAGCACATGGCAGTGACTGACCGGTTTTGCCTGGAGAGTCGTGTGTCAGCATCCGATTAGAATTTATTTATTTTATTTTTTGAAGTATGGTGTGCCGGTTGTATGGCAGCTGTACAGCATCAGCCTGAATGAGATCCCATGCTTCTCTTTGTTTTGACTGGAGAGCTTGCTGAGTGTTACTCTGGAAGGATTAGTCTCTGGGGGCACCCTGGGAAACGGTGCTCTGGGGTTCAGGTTGTAGCCATTTGTTTTGTAGTCGTTTTTGTTGGCATTGTTTTGTAGTTGTTTTGTTGACAATGTTTTGTAGTCTTCGTCATTAGTTTCGCCTTTTGTCAAAAATTTCTTTTTGGTCTTGGCTGTTTTTTAGTCTTTTTTAGTTAGTGTAGACGTTTGTCTTTTGGTTTGCTTTGTTTGTTGTTGTTGGGTTCCAGTTGCAATGGCCTTGCTGTTTGAGACTTTTCAGGACAGAACCACTTAAAAAATCAGTGTTCCTGTGCTGGGCCTGTGGAGAATGCCTCGCTGTTTTCTTGCCGGTTCCCGTGTCCTACTTTACGAGGACCGAAACCAAATCCATGGCTGTTGAATGGCGACCTTTGGGAGAGAACATCAGGGTATTGTTTAGGGTCTTCCGGGGAAGGGGGAGGGTTTGCGATCTTGGAGCCTTTCTTTCCCAAGCCAGACAGGAGCTGGCAGGGTGGAGCGTCAGCCAGCTGACTGCAGAATCCCACCCCCCCCCTCCCCCTGGATCCGCTGTGCTCTCCGTTCCTGTCTCTGAGGCAGGTGTTCTCTCACTGAACACGGGGACCATTGACAGGAGGCTGTAAGAGCTGCTGTCCCTGGGCTGGTCACACACACACACACACACACACACACACCCCTACCCCTTCTTACTGGCTTTCATTTTGATGCCTTTAACGATGCTTAACTACAGTCCTCTCAAAAACATGCACAGTTGGTTCAAAGTCTAGTTCCTTTTCTTTGAGAAAAGCTGTTTATTTTGGGATGATACCCCACACATGCACTTGCACACACACACACACTTTCTGCAGTTCTACCATGTGCTGGACACTCTCCCTATGACCGATGCTCGCTTGGTGCCACATGGACGAACAGCAACCCTGCCAGGCTTTGCCTCTCCAATATGAGCGATGGCTGTCAGTCCTGTGGTACCCTGTTGCCATGCCTTCTGAAATGAGATTGGACGGCTGCAGGCTCCGTGGTGAGCCGGGGTGCTCCCGTGTGTCAGTGAAAATTCTAATAGTATCTACCTGTTTATTCTTCTTTTAACCTTCACGTCAGAGGTTGACACTCTGATTACGGTGGCTGCCGTGTCAGCTCCCATAATGCCGTTGGCCTGAGAGTGCCTGTGGGAGCTGTTAACCCGTTAGCTGGGTGGGTGTTCCTGTGTGAAGTGCAAAAACACTGCCTGGCCGTCTGTCCATGAGTGTTTGTCTCCTGGGATCCTGTTTTATCTCTGTGGTTTTAGTCAAAATCCCACCTGTGTACTTCGCCACTCCCACCTCAGACAGCATCCCCGGCCCAGTCTGGCCCAGGTCCAGCTGCCTTTCCTCCAAATCCACTCCATTATTCATGGCAGTTTGACTCCTGTGTGTTTATTAAGTATGTTTCAAGCAAGCGCTTCCTTGGTATAACGACCCGCTGGGCCAGTACCCAAGATGCACTCCAGGAAAGACCCAGCAATCAGGCTTTAGAGGCAGAAGCTTGCATTACAGCGTGTGTCCCCACCAACCACGCTCACTCTTCCGGAATGTTCCGTAGAACATGACGACGTGGAGCATCCACGTCATGGTGCAGCCTGGACCATTGCCACCATTGGTTGAACTCGTAACTCCGGATGTTTCCTTGGCATTGCTGAGGAATATTCCAGAAAAATAAGTATTTTAACCGAAATGACAAGTGCAGCTTTTATCCCACCATTTGCCTAAAATTAAATGCAGGAGCAGTAAGGAAAAAAAAATGTAGCTATTGGGTTTTTAAAAATGGATTTCTCAATGTTTGCACAGCATGTTCTTCCCAAGGGCTGACATTAGATTCGGTGATCACGTTAAACCTGAAAAGATAAAGCGGGAAAAGAGGGAAATGATGATGGATGAACTGAACGACTCTTAGAAGTGCAAGGGCTCCCCCTACTGGCGGATTAGTCAAAATACAGGAGGGTTTTGATTATTTTCATTTTGATCAGTGCGATGAACCATGTGACTTGCACGTGCGTTAGGTCAGGCGAATTTAGCTTGTCAGTTGAGTAAATCAGCTGTTTAACTAAGCTTATTCCTTCCACTCAAAGTTGGAATTCATGTCAACGTGATGAAACTGCCATGGATATGAGCCACTGTCTGAATTTTTAATTTTATATGTGTGAGGGTTCATTTTTATGAGTGGGAATTTTCAGATTTCATGGTGTTTTGAAGAGAGAGACTCTTCTGTGGGGTGTGGTTTGCACACTTGGTGTGTGCAGCCTGGCCGTCAGACCTAGCTGCCACTTGCGTCCCTCTGTGGGTCTCTGTGATTTTTATTTGTCATTGTGCAAGTGGGTTGCCATCAGTAGCGGACGGACCTAGCGTTGGCAGGTGGAGTCCAGGGTACCAGATTTTTAACTGAAAATAAGCAGAAATTTGGGTCATCTCCTCTACCCAGCAAGATGAAGGTCTGCATGACTTCGGGTTGCATGTGGGGAGGTCATCCTGTGAAACATTTTTATTTCCATATGCAAATTATGGAAGTCACCGCTTCCTCGATTTGACTGCCTACATCTGTGACCTCAGGACCAGCTGTGACTGGAGGGTCAGTAGCCTCTAATGGGCTTGATCTTTGACTTTTCGCTTGCCCTTCCAGGTCAAGGGGTCCAAGAGCTGCTGTCTGGAAACCCGGGGGTGTGGCCTGGCCTCTCCTGCCGTTACGCCCAGTAAACCTGCTCGTGGTCCCGCCCACTTCCTGACCTATTTGCAGCGAATCCTTGGGTCGGGACGGAGCAGAGCTCAGGTAGGCTGTGAGCGTGACACCTGGCAGCACAGCGGCCGTGTTCTTTCTGTGTTCTTTACATGTCCGTACGGCTGTGGGGCTGTTATCCCTGCTGGATAACAGTCTTTCCAGGGCATTCTGCTCATAATACACCCCCATGGTACTATGTTGAAATTGTGAAAATGGACCATGGTGATCATTCGCAACTCGGTGCCTTAAAGGGGGCATTATTGTTTGCTGTGTTCGTCTGAGATGTTGTGAGGACAAAAATGCCAAAACAATATTCAGACATACTTATTCTTTTGTCCGTCGTGTCACGCACTTCATGCGTCCCCTCATAGGAAGCAGAGGATGCCGCTGGCCACACAGGGCGGCTGCATTTATAAACGCTGGGGGCGGACAGAGCAAACTGACCTCCCTGTTTAAGCGACCCCACCATGCTATATCTAATGTTGCCTTTTTACTGAAAATTCACACACAGGTGGCTCTGATTCATGTTGAGGCCAACTGTATCCTCTTCTTAATCCTTTGATCTTTTTATCTATTCCTTCTTGGTGAAAGTGTTTTGGTAGACAATTCTAGACTTCATTGCAAAGGGATGTCTGTGCATTTGATGTAAGGCTACCTATGTATAATCCACTGGGGGGCAGTGTGTGTCTTACAAATTATGTGATTATGTGTTTGTAGAAGCTCTTTATATTGCAGTAATATATATATTTTTTTCTTTTTTTCAGTCAGCCTTTTTATTACGTTGTGAAACATTTATGTCTTTATGAATATGTAACTCATTTTGATGGATGCAGTAACATGCTTATTCCACATGGTGGCACCAGAGGCTCATTTTCAAATGTATGTCGGTATTGCTACTGCGTTCTGCTGAGTTGAATTCTTGCTTTAATTTAATTTAATTAACAGAACGTGTAAGAGTAATTTCATAGGCTTCAATTAACATAATAGCTAAGGTCGTCTTTTAAAGTATTACATTTATAAAAACGAAAAGCATAACTCCAGCACTTGGCACGACAGTTAAGATACCTGGTAATATCGTTGGCTGCAGTCTTTGGTGGGAATTGTGGCAAGGTGTTAATTGGATAGCCGTTAATTCTGATGTACTAACAAGTCACAATAAGTCATGTGACTCACTGTGTTCTGCGGTCCTTGTTGATTTTATAAGTACCAAAAGAAGCTGCTTTCAGCTCCCAGAAGAGGATGTACCTCTGACCCCATGTATGGGATACCACCAATGGGATACCTGACCCCAAAGTGCTATAGTTAAAATCATTCATCCATTTAGAAATGGGGAGAAAACATGAAAGTCTTTGGGCAAACATGTCAGATTGGCCGTATTCTGTTGCCAGGGTTATACCTAGGAATTCTGATTCCCCCCTAACAAAATTTGAGGTATTCAATGGCCCTTGTGAAGTGCTGGGCCCCTTGAAGCTGCCTGGGTATCCATGCACCCCTCTGCTGCCCCCTGCCTGTAGACCTGTCCTTGTTCCTGGACCTTTACATGTTTCTATGTCCATCCACGTTAGCATGAGTCCTCAGCTTGCACAGTGACCTCCCCCATGAGGTGTAGAAGCTGATTCCCAGCCTGGCATCCTGTACGCAGTGAGAGCTGTGCGTCCTCATATGTTTGCCTACCAAAGACTGCCCACACATTCCTGATCTGAGATATCAGTGTTATTATTTGAGCGTAAAAGCTGATTTATGCTTCTTTGTTGAGCCTATACAGACCTTACGCCATGGCTTATGCACGTGGCCTACACTGTTGCTATCATTGTACTTGTGTGCTGGTGTGTCTGCAGTTACACTGCCAAAACACTAGTTGTTTGAGCATGGGGAGGTTTAAGTAAAACATATTTACTCTGTCATATGAAACAAAGCTTAGCAAGCTTTGTCATTTTAATGATGGTGTGTTTTCAAGATTATCTGCTAAAATCAGTTTAAAGTTCTCCACTGTTGCTTTTGCATGAGCTCTGCATGCGCTTATCAAGCCAGTCATAAACATTTTCATCCTTGCTGTTTAAATTTAATGACAAGTCTGAGGGGCAGAGCGTGTCAGTCAGTCTGAGAGAGTGATGCCTGAGCATGGAGCTGGTCGGGCTGTGAGACACGGCCCGTCATCCACTGCTTACACACTCACTCTCCGTAATTAGCCGGTCACCCGCAGCAGTGTGATGGGAGCACCCCCCGTCCCACTTTAAATGAGCCGTTTTGGAAAGCTGACTGGAGATGCCTGAACACATGTTCTGCTTTCCCTTAGAAAGGTGTGTTCAGGTTAAGCAGAAAGGTCCAGGTTAGAACTCTGCCCAGCGCTGTTCAGGTTGGGAGAAGTCCGACTCGTAAGCAAGTGGCTCCGCTTGAATGAGGTGCCTGACCTCATTAAGCTGACCCCCTATTACGTCAATAGGGTAGAATGATGATACTTAATTAATCCCCCTGGGGAAATTCTCTTTTTGCTTACCCCATCTCACTCTCCATGAGAGAAACACACACACAAGCAGGTGAGAGCAAGCTTAGGGGTCACAGTATGGGGCCAGCTGGTGTGCAGCGCCCCCTGGAGACATTGGGGCAGGAGCGTAGGTTTGGTTTCAACATTGGTGGGGACCAAATCAACCCCAAAACCTCCACTGGGGTCTTTCTGTCATGTCCTGTACCCAGACCCTGCTCCGCCGTACATGGGGGGGTCTCTGTCATGTCCTGTACCCAGACCCTGCTCCGCCGTACATGGGGGGGTCTCTGTCATGTCCTGTACCCAGGCTCACCTATGTACCTAGCCACCTGTCCCACGTCTCACTTGTAGCTAATATTAATATTATGTCCCAGGACTATGTTGGGAGTGGGTTGGGGGGGGGTGTCATCAGAATGACTCCTCAGGCTCCTTCAGACCAGCGCTGCTGACTCAGGGACAACATGCCACCCCTCCCCTGTCAGCCAGCTCTCAGGGACCGACACGGGACATTCGTCATTTTCTACCAGCATGAAGGACGTTCATGACCCTTAGGTGGCAGAAGGACAGGCGTGCATCAGCCTGTGTGTGTGTATCTGTGTGTCTGTGTGTGTCTGTGTGTGTCTGTGTGGATATGTATTACATTGTGGGGACAAAAACCTGTTATTTTTACGTTATTGGGACCATTTTTTTTTTCGATCCCTACAAGGTGAAACTCAATTTTATAAAAATGCCAAAAGACTTGTATTTTGTTTGTTTACTTATGGTTAAGGTTAGGGCTGGGTAGTGTTTTTTCCCCAAATGAATGGACGGTCCCCACAAATATATGAATACAAGTGTGTGTGTGTGTGTGTGTCTGTGTGTGTGTGTGTGTGTGTGTGTGTGTGTCTGTGTGTGTGTGGGACTAGATGGAGGGTGGCTGAATTGGGGAGGGTGGGTGCGTACGCCCCATCTTCCCTTGTGGGAGCTCCTGTTTCTGTGGGCTGCCTCTTTTTCTCTCCCTCCCTCCTCACCTCCCTTCCCTCCCCCCCACCTCCGTTCAGGGGTGGTGGTGGGGGGGGTTTGTGGTGGGCGGGCTGTAGAGGGGTGGGTACAGAGCTGAGCGTGCGTCTGTGCACAGCTGAGCTGCGAGGGGGGAGAGCACACAGTGATGCGAGAGCGCTGGCACCTCGACGCGGCCACAGCCGGGGCCCCGGGCAACGGGGCGCCTCCGGCGGGGGACGCCCGGCAGCCCATGGGGGGGGCCTACTTCTGCCTTATCCGGAGGCGTTTCAAGAGGAGGCGCAAGAAACGCTCCGAGCGCAAAGGTACCCCGTCGCGGGCCGCCAGCAGGGGGCGCCTGTCACGTCGACCGCGGCGCTTAGCGCCGGTGAGTTTAGTTCGCGTCCGTTTCTAAGCCCGGCTGTGTAAACCTGCCGTTTCTGCAACCATGACGCGTGGCACCTGGTAAATAGTAGCACGTGGCAGTGGGCATGCAAGGGGGCATTTAGTTTGAAAGCGGCGGTTAAATGGCGAGAGGGTGGGATGGGCTGAGAGTGTTGGGTAGGCAGTGCTGGTGATGCCCCCCCACACACAGACACACACCGGCTCCGTATGTATTCAGGGGCGTTAGCAAGAGACACTCAAACACTGTCAAACATCCTCAGAAAGGTTTCTGAGTGGGAACAGCACGGCCATGTGTTTTACTAGTTTAATACAATTCAGGGGAATAACAGCAGTGCTCAGTTCTGTGTATGAGTGATATAAAAGTGCCATGTTAACAAAAATAAAACAAGGGAACTCTCGTTTATTAGCCTGTAAAGTGCTGGGTAGGCGTGCAGCTCCGTGCCCTCTGTGCTTATTGTGTTCCTGCTCCTTCACCAAACTCCTCTGTCCGTCTGCGGCACCTTGTACCCGTCCTGGGTCTGAGGATGTTTCCCCCGAAACTTTGTTTGCTTGTTTTTCTCCTGGGATGAGCGACAGCTGATTGATTAACCTGGCTGTCAGAAGAGCTGCATTTGTTCCCACTAGGTTGTATTCCACGATGAGCAAACTCTGTCACTTTACATCATGAATCTGTCCTTTTACATCATCTATGTTTGCATCATCTCTGTATTGTTTGTGCAGATAGGTAGAATCCTTGGTGCTCCTGGTCTTTCTCAAATGTGTACCTCAGCATCGTTGGAGGTCTTCTCCCCCACAGAGGAATCACTGGAGCCAGCGGTGCAATATATTCCCTGCAGGAATCCATGATACTCTTCATTACTTAGGAGCTTTTATTTGGGGCTGAAAGTAATCGCTTCAGTACTTATTGCTGAATTAACCCAGCCCCGTTATCACAGCCCTCGCTGTCACCAAGTCAGTAAATTTTACCCTGTCATTGCTGGTGGCATTGCTCACTGGGAGGGGTGGGCAAAAAGATGCACCCTTTTATTGCTGGTTTAGCACGCTCTCTGTTAGCACATTTAAGAAGGACTTTTTGAAGGGCGTAACCTGTAGCACGTATAAGAGGGGCTTTCTATCCAGTGGGAGCTCGGAGAATGACACGATGGGCGCTCAGGGGAGCTGATGTCTGTATATCACTCCTCTG